GTGGTGTTTCTACAAGCTGCAATTTAAAAGGAAAAGAGAAACACAGGGGCTTTTATATTGCTATTTTTTCCAGAAACGATTTACATTTTCATCTTATTCAGAGACAATTTACTCAATGTCAGTCAGCAGGCACAGCCACGCTGAGCATCACAGCATTATTTTTGCTTCAGGGAAAAGAGAGAGAGTAATGCCACTCAAATAAATTACCGCAGAAACTTATGAATGACAGGGCGCTCTGCTTCATTTCCAGATTTTAGACATCTAAATATGCCCTGAGGAAGTTAACATGGAAAACCAAAAATTTTGCCTACTCGAAATGTATTAATTTATTTTGACAGGTATAGACACTCCTAACCAAATTCTACAGGATATAGACACAGTCCTGAGTGGTTCCCTCTTATCAGCACAGTGACACAAAGCTGTGCTGTTCTCTGTCATGCAGTGGTGTTCAGGGTGCAGAACAAGGACACTGCCCCGTAGCATGGGCTGTGGTGCTTTCTGTCTCTGAGCTGTGGCAGTCAACAGTCTCCATACAGAATTCTTAAGCTGGTGATCACACACACACACACACACACACACACACACACACACACACACACACACGTTTGTTGTGATGTCAATTTACGTGCATCTTTAAAAAGCAAAATTAAGAAAAAAAAAGACTGAACTTTAAAATAATAGTTTAGGTCTGCAGAGAGTTAAATGGGATGGAGAATGTTCTCATACAACCCCTTCCTTCCCTGCTACCTGAACACTCTCCCTCACTGTAGATGGCACATTTGTCCCAATTGATGAGCCTACAATGACACATTGCAGTCACCCAGAGTCCCTCCCATCCCTGCTAGGTACTTCATTTATATAGGAGAAAATGCAGGTGTGCATTTCTCTGTCATTTTCCTTGCAAGGCAAGGTCAACTGGCAAAATGTCCTTCAATTTTTATCTTATAAAAATAATCCTCCTTCAACTTTAAAGGATAATTTCACAGAGGCCAGAGCTCTTAGTGGTCTCCTTCCCACCTTTATCACCAGATTTTTCACAGACTTTCTTCTTGCCTGCATGGTTCCTGAGAAGTCAGAAGTATTCTTATCTTTGCTGCAGTGCACGGAAGGTCCTTTCTTACTCTGGTTCCTTTGTCTTTTATTTACCTGGAGTCTGAAAATGATATGTGTAGATCCTTAGTCATCTGGGAAATGAAATCAAAACTACTTTGAGATTTCATCTTATACCTGCCAGAATGGCTAAGATCAATGAAACAAATGACAGCTTGTGCTGGCAAGGATGTGGGGTAAGGGGAACACTCCTCCATTGCTGGTGGGAGTGCAAACTTGTACAACTATTATGGAAATCAGTGTAGCCATTCCTCAGGAAGATGGGAATCGATCTACCTCAAGATCCACCTATACCACTCTGGGACATATTACCAAAAGGACACTTCATTCTATCACAGATATACTTGCTCAACCATGTTCACTGCTGCTCTCTTCATAACAGCCAGAAACTGGAAACAACCTAGATGTCCCTCAACAGAAGAATAGTTAAAGAAAATGTGATACATTTATGCAATGGTGTATTACTTGGTTTTTTAAAAATGATATCATGAAATTTGTAGGCAAATGGATGGAACTATAAACAATCATCCTGAGTGAGGTAACCCAGATCCAGAAAGACAAATACAGTATGCATTTGCTTATATGTGGATATTAGCTGTTAAGTCAATTAAATCAATGATAACCAAGCTACAGTCCATAGAACTACAGGGGTTAGGTATAGAGCAAGAGGTCAGGAAACAGATAGATTTCCCTAGAAAAGTGAAATAGAATAGATAGCTATGAATAGAAGCCAGGAGGGGTGAGGGGTGGGGCTGGAATGGACTGATCAAGCAGGGAGGGGGAGGGAGAGAACACAGGGAAAGACAGCTAAAATTAAGGGCCAATTTGAGGAGTTGTATGAAAACCAATATACAGTAGAAGATTTGTAAAATATATACATATATGAAGGCAATCTAAATGAAATCTCCAAATAATTGGAGAGAAAGAACTCCCCTTGAACATTCTTGTCACCAAATAAATCTTCCAGTCCTGGGAATGGGTTATATCTAATTGAGTTGTTGACCAAAGGGCTCCCATGGATTCCCCGAACAACCCATGTTGTTGCCAAGGCTGTATGTTTCTCTCCACTAGCTGACAGCAAGGTTCTATTGCTGAAGACAACACCTACACAACTCATTGAACATGGAGAAGTTGAGCCGGTGCCTACATAGAACCTTCACCACTGCCAGTTAGTGTTGTTGGTACTGGAAGGTACTCTGTACTCTACCAAAAGAGAAGGATAAATACTAACCCATCTACAAACTCTTTGAAACTCAGCAGTGTCCTGCCTGCAAGATATGTTAGTGTAATGGTGGTATAAAGCATGTGGGAGGAACCAACCGGTATCTGATTTACCTGCAGGCTCACTCAACGAGATAGAACCCATACCCAACACTGTGACCAAGAAACTGAGACTAGAGAGCCCAGGGACCTATAGTAAAGCCAAATACTACTGTTCTACTAAAGGAATGTAACAATAAAATGACTTCTATGCTACACTCCTAGATCAGTGCTTTGTTCAGCTATCAACAGAGAAGCTTCCGCCTACAGCAGATAGGAACAAATACAGAGACCCACAACCAGACAATATGCAGAGTGACAGACCTCGGAACACTTAGTCCTACATGGGATGCCTTTATCAAATTTCTCCCCCTAGGGTTCAGGGACCCCACAGAAAAGGAGGCAGAAAGAGTGTGAGAGCCAGAGGTGATGGAGGACACCAAGGAAGCGAGGCCTCATGAACACAATAGGCCCGATGCACATATGAACTCACCGAGACCGAGGCAGCATGCACAGGGTGCATGGGTCTGCACTAGATGGGGTCCTAGAGCTGGAAGAAGAAGTGGCCACATGACCTCATCCCTAACCCAGAAGCTATCTCCAACTGACAACCACTTGCAAATGAAAATTTAGTTTTCTTCAAGGAAGTCTTGCTGGGGAAACAAACTACTCTTAAGGGTAGACTGCATGCCCAGCAGTAGTTGGGAATTAGAAAATGAAGTCAATGGCATCTTTGGAGGTTCCTTGTCCCATAATGTCATGTTGGCATGTTGGGCTTTTTGTCTTCTTTTTAAAAATTATTTTTATGCTGGGCGTTGATGGTGCACGTCTTTAATCTCAGCACTCGGGAGGCAGAGGCTGGCGGATCTCAGTGAGTTTGAGGCCAGCCTGATCTACAAAGCAAGTCCTAGGACAGCCAGGACTGTTACACAGAGAAATCCTGTTAAAAAAAAGTTATTTTTATTTTTGTTTCTCTTTTATTTCCCCTACAGGTCCTTTATGTACCTATATGGCTACTGGTTTTATGCTTTTATGGGATTCCTGAGTGTGAGAATGTGGGTCCTCTGGATCTATATGTATTTCTTGCACCTTTTCTTGGGCTCTTTTCCTTCTGTTTGTATTTTCCTATTCTGATGCACTTGTTTTTGTCTCATCTTGTTTTATTTTATTATTATCCCTTGGATGCCTGTGTGTTTTCCAATGAAAGACAGAAAGGGGGATGTATCTGAATGGGAGGGGATGTGGGGAGAAACCAGAAGGAGTAGAGGGAGGAGAGCCACAATGTTGACATATTGTATGGAAAAGAAATCTAATTCCCAATAAAACAAACAAAAAGCAAATGGTATGTGTAGTTGTAGCTTTTCAGTGGGAGGGCATTTGTCTTGCTTGGTATTCTCTTTTGACTTTTTCCTCAGAATGCCCATCTCCCTGCTTTCCATTAAAGCCTCTATGCTATTAATTATAATTTCAAGGTTGCTGGATAATTCCAACCTTCCTGTCATATAACTGGTTCTGATGCTGGTTCAGTTTCTTCAGTCAGCACATTTTGCCTTTAAGCCCATTGACAGTATTCCCCCCCCCCTTTTTTTCCCCGTGACAGGGTTTCTCTGTGTAGCTTTGTAGACCAGGCTGGCCTTGAACTCACAGAGATCCACCTGCCTCTGCCTCCTGAGTGCTGGAATTAAAGGCATATGCCTCCACAGCTGCCCGGAGACAGTATTTCTGCTGCAGCTAGATGTGATATACTTGGTAAAAGTATACCACTTTTAAAAACTAGGGGAACATTGTGAGGTCAGTTGTCATGGAGGAGTGTGTAGGATAAAAGGGCCAGCCAAAAAAACCCACTTTGGTCCTGACCCTAGAGCCAACTCTGAACCCAGAGCCTGTGAAAGAAACACTTTAACTATGAACCCAAAGAAAAACACCATGACTCTGAAACCAGTGCCAAAGAAACACACTTTGTCCCCAGAATCAGAGCCAGTGAAAGAAATATACCTTGGCACTAAAATTAGAGCCAAAAGACTAAAAAGGACCAGTGAAAGAAACACTGAAACCAGAGCCATCTCTACCCCTGACCAACTAAACTAACCAATTCATGATCAGGAAAACTAACCAATCCCTGAGTAGAAAAACTTCTCCCTGGGAAAACTCCACCCCTAAGAAGCCCTATATAAGCCCCTTTGCCTGTTCAGTTGGGGGCTGTCCTTTCCCACCCTGGCAAAGGCAGCCACTCTCCTGGACTCCTCCTTCTCAAATAAATCTCTTTCTCAAAAGAGTCCTGGTTAAAGATCTTCATTTGCTGGTGCAGAATAGAAGGGACCATGAGGAGGGTCTATAGGAAAAGACATAAGGAAGGCAAAACTTCCTGATAAGTAAGGCAAGTGTGGTCTCCAGCAATAGTTGCATCCCTAAAAAAAAAATCACATGATAAATATGAAATTTAAAATGGCCACCCTATGTCACCCCATGTAGACCTGTTGTGATTACTTTAGATACATGAGGCATTAAGAAAATGTTAAGGGAGGATTGAAGGAAGTGACCAAAGAATAGAGAGAGTTTGAGGTCAAGGAAACAGATTTGAAGGGGTGAGGGAGAGGTGGGGTGAGCTGGTGTTGCAGGGGAGTACTCACTGGGTTGATGTGTGTTCCAGTGTGTGTACTGCACCGGCTCAGCCCTCTGCCCCACAGTCTTCCAAGTGTACTCCCCTGTATTATTTTGGTCCTGAAGAGCTATCCAAAAATAAGTGTCTTTCATTTTTGCCACACTACTGATGAAACTGGTTATAAAAGCCTGTTCAAACCTTGAAAAGAGAAAGAAAGAAAAGAAAATTCTTATACTAAGTTTCTGGATGATAAATACATCATTAAAATGTAATGGAATGTGCAGAATGGAACCAGAGTAGGCACTTCTTGTTAATTCTCTGGAACGTAGAACAAATACACCAAGACTCTAGTGTTGCTAGTATATGGCAAATGTCAGCCCAACTTCAGAAATACATGACTACTAAAGACTTCATTCTTGTAATTGTCCAAAGGCCAAATAGCAGAGATATCTGGATCTGCAGTGGAGTGGCAGCCTCCACACACCCAGCCATGTGTCTCTTGGAGAAATACATCTGTTTTCTATTTAGGCTACACACCATGCCCTGTACCATGATGAGCATTGGCTGGAGGAGGCAGGAGGAAGAGGGAAGGCATGCTTTCTGAATGTGCATTTTCTACTGTGGAGTACGCATGCGCCCTCTCCCCACCCTTGCTTAGTAAGAAAGGAAGTGCAGGAACAATTTTATGCCTCCCAAATCAGTCTGTTCACAGGCATAGGGAGTCTTTGGCTTATTCAAATGTGTTCAAACTGTGTGTATTTTCACTGAAGATAAATTTCAACAAATCCAAGACATACCACCCAGTATCATTTCCCCCAAGCAACTGAATGGATTTGTTCCCAACAATTGTTGGCAATGCTCCTTTTTAACTACAAATACACCCAAAGAATATGTAGACAACTTGTGCATAGCTGCTCACACACACACACACACACACACACACACACACGCATGCACGCCCCTATAACAAAGCACAAGCATCAAGCTCAACTAGCATTGAATCCAAAGCTTAGTTTGAAACTACATTTAAAGCACACAAAGTTCAAAGGACTTCCAAATAGTGGCAATGTCTGGCCATATCTGCTGAGTCAAAGGAAAACATAAAGCCTGGTAAAATTACCCAAGAAATCTCAGGAGAAAGTGCATTGGACTTTTAACATTCAATTTGAGATTATTTTTATTGCATGCATTATTCACTTGCTATGGGGAACAGAAACAATGAGACTGTTTATAAAATCAAGGAGCCTCAAAGGAGATGGAGAGGGAATGACAGAAGAACAAAAGGTGGGACATTAAGTGCCTCAGGGCCACCCCAGTGACTCCAGGGAAGGACCTGAGGGAGGTGCTCACTGTGGTCAAGCATGTGGCTTTCATCAGACTTTAGTAATATTTTCTGCAAATGCTCTATAAACAACCTAAATAATACACCTCTGCAATCAGAAAAGCTACTTTTAGCCATACCTCAGAGGCAGAACTTTACATACCCGTATTTCGAGGAAGGTATGTAAAACTAAATATCATCTAGATGCTGTGGTAATTTTCCTTATTCTCTATTGGTTTGTGATGGCACAGTGGAAGATCTGCTTTACTGATCCCCTCTGCTACCAAGAATCGCTGCTCTGCAAGCTGGAGACTACTAGTTACTATGTTGTTGCTAAATCCAAGGCCATGGCTGGTTCTTCCATTACTTTATCAAATAATAGCAGGAAATGACTTTGTTTGCAAACTTGGCCTTGGGCATCATTATCTATGACAACAGTGCTTTTGTAACCTGTTGGTTACAGATTTATTTAGTCCACTCTGGTTTGCTATTTTGTCTCCATCATTGTTTGGGGTAATAGAAACTTTTTGATTTGTCAAGTCTATTTTTACAGAGGGCTTATAATATTCAAACATTAACATCTTCAAATCAAAAATCAACATTCAGGTTTCTTTCATCTAATTTACAAGATGGTGCCATTAGTAAAATGATTTAGCAAATGTGTCTTTATTCTAAACCAAATATGTCCTTCTAACACTGGATAACAGTGCAAGCTCTTGAGTATCTGCTTCCAGTTGGCAATAAAGCAATTTTATTTGTTTGTTTGTTTGTTTTGTTTCCTTGAGACAGGGTTTCTCTGTGTAACAGCCCTCACTGTCTGTCCTAGAATTAGCTCTGTAGACTAGGCTGGTCACAGAGATCTTCCTGCCTCTGCCTCTTGAATGCTGGGATTAAAGGCACACAGTGCCACTGCCCAGCAAGAACCAATTTTATGTTTGTTACCACTTTTTGTTTGTTTTCAAACCCTAAGTGAAAAGCTCTGATTACCGTAATATAGATGGTATCTATGAAAAGACAACATGAAGACGGCATCTTAGAAAAACAAAGCTTTTAATTTGGGCTCATGGTGTAGAGGGTTAGAGTGCATGACCATCATGGAGGGGGGTATGGTGGAGGGGAGCATGGTGGCAGGCAGGCATGGTGCTAGAACAGTAGCTGAGAGCTTACATCTGATTCATGAGAGAGAGAGATAGACAGAGAAAGAGAGACATACACACACACACACACACACACACACACAGAGGGCTAACAGGGAAATGAAGTGGGCTTTTGAAACCTCTAAGCCTACTTTCAGTGACACACCTCCTCCAACAAGGTCATACCTCCTCATCCTTTCCAAATAGCTCTACCTACTGCAAACCAAACATTTAAATATATTGGCCTATACGGACCATTCTCATTCAAACAGCCACAGACAGTAACATTTCAAACTACTCTGTGTTTTAGAATTATTTACAGAAGAACAGTTCAGAGTTGTGTGTCACCTGGCCATTTTGTTTGAATTTACTGGTGTTAAATCAAATGTCGCCAAGGTTTAAGAAATGAAGATCATTGTATGTACATAGTTTTATGTTATCCCTTGTACCAAGACAGCAGAATAGTATGTTACACGGAGAGAATTAAGTGAAGAAGAAATTCTATGATTTTTCAAAAGCATTCAGCAAAGTTGCAGGATAGAAATATAACATTAAAAAAATAAGTTGTCTTTCCATCTTTAACAACCCCTAATTGAAGCTAAGGAAAGAATTACATTTACCATAACAGCAAAAAGAATGAGATACTTCGGAATAAAGCAATGTTCATTAAACTTGAAGGCAGTGTGCTAAGGGAAAGGAGCCATGTGCAGCAACGCAGACAGAAGATGGTCCTAGTTACATCTAGTACCTTGAATAGTCCAACTTCTAGAGAACAAAAACAGAAAGCTGTTTATCAGGAACTGGGCGTGGGTGGAGAATGGGAAGTATTTCTGAATAAGCTTGGAGTTTTCCGTGTGGGAAGAAGAACCATGTCCCAGAGATAGACGGTGCTGGCCAATGCATAGCACCGTGAATGCATTTAAGACCATTGATGTTCACTTAAAGTGGAGACATTCTTTATTTCATGAATATTTTACCATGTCAATTGAAATTGTGATTAGGAGCAAATGGCTTTCAAAACAGGACACTGAGTGATATGGCATTATATCTCTTTTTGGGCAAATTTACAAAATCAAGTATCACTTGCATTATTTTGCACAAAACTTTTCATGCTGATTGATTCATGGTTCATCAACTTAATTATTGAACATATAGACAGTAATCTGTGGTATCATTGTAATTCAGATTTTGAATCCTGCTGTCTGGAAGCCAAATAGCCAGACTGGAAGAGGTTTATTGTTTGTTTGTTTGTTTGTTTTACAATCATCCAGCACATCAAAATCTGTTTCTCAGAAAGGAGGGTCTTTTTTTCTTCTCCTTTGTATTCCACAATGCTGGAAGAAGTCCTAAATCAGAAGCAGTAGCCCCATAACTAAAGAAATGAGTAATTTGCTGCAGGTGGTTTTAATTGCACCCATCAAACCTGTCACTCCTTTGTGCAGACAGTGGAAAATCGGTTAACAACTGACTACAGGCCTAGGTGCTCAGAGTGATGGAGGGTCTGTAACTCAAACAGGAAATGGGTAATGGAAGCAGATGATTCCGAAGCCTCCTAGAGGGTCTCCTGGGTTTGAGAAGACCTCCCTTATAGTGACCAGTTTTCGCAGACAAGTACTTCCATAAAACATTCCAGCATGGATCACCACTTAGTTTCTTCCCTGATGAGGTCTGAACAAAATGGGGGCCTCTTTCCTCAACCTGAGAGTCTAGTGGTAGAGCCACTGCTCTGGATGTGTCCTTGTTTGTGGAGGCAAGTCTTTGTGCTAACTGACTGAGTGGGAGAGATGTCACATCATTGCTCTCATTGTCTTACAGGCTCTGGTGGCATGCTAGCACAAGGTAACCTGGATGGGCCTAATGGCTTGAGCTGGCTGGTTTTGTGTCAAGTTGACATAAGTTAGAGTCATCTGAGATGAGAGAACCTCAACTGAGAAAATGCCTCCAGAAGATTGGCTGTAAGCAAGGAAGTCTGTAGGACATTTTCTTAACTAGTGATCAATGTGGGCTAGTGGTCTTGGGTACTATTAGAAAGCAGACTGGAGTGCTGCCCTGGCCTCGCAGGGTGGGGCGGGTGGTGGACACTGCTACAAAAAACAAATACATGATGGAGAGGTGGGAAAGACAGAAAAATAAAGCAGTGTGTGCCCTAGGGAGAGGTGGACGTGGAGACATAATGACCATCATAGGTGAGAGAGAGGGCTGAGATCAACTTGCTGCCATTGCCCAATAGGGTAGGTGAGATAGTGTATAACAGCCTGGAATTTACACAGATGCAGACTCAACCCCCAAACCTGCTGCCTTACTGTGGGGTCCCCCTGGCTCTGGGCAACGATGGAGGCCCAAGATGAGAAAAGTTTCACTTTCTGGATTGAATCTCCTCAAAGAACCACTATGTCCTGTGATGCCACTGGAGGACATATTGGTATCTGTGGTCCAGGCTGCTGCACCAGAGCCAATAAAGCCTTAGATCCATGTGGATTTATGTGGTCTGTGATACGGCCTGAGGCTTTGGTGATGTCCTTGGGCTTTACTGCCTCGGGTGCTACACTGATGTGAATGACATGTATAACCACCTGAAGCCGTGTCGAGGCTCATGGCCTGTGCAGCCACTGAGGGCCATGAGTGAGTCAGTGGTCCTAATACAGCCAAGTTCTGTGTTGGTGTCTATAGTCCATGTTACCAGTGAAGCCCAGACAGATGCGTGTGGTCCAGGCTGCCTCCTGAAGTCATGTTAAAGTCCA